AAACCTCCAGTGGTCGGTCTGTCCTCTGTATGGTTCTTCTGGACTCAGTCTCAGTGGTCCAGGTCTGCTGTGTGTGTGCACGTGGAGCGTGCACGTGCTCAGACTGTACATGACTTCATGCTCTCACCTTCACTGACGCTGGTCTGTCGTTTATTCAGGTTGTTCTGGTGGAAATATATGAAGCTGAGGAAGAGCTCAGGGAAATAGTGCAGTGGATCATCAGGAGGTCAGAGGTCAGAGGTCAGGGGTCAGGCGTGTTTCAACATTAGTGTGATTAAGACACAGTTGTTGTGAGGCAGCATCTTCAGCCTCTGGCGCCGTATAGTAATCAAACTATTGATGACAGGGACACACACACACACACACACACACACACACACACACACACACAGCTCAGCAGCTGTAGTATGTTGATTATTGATCATAATCATTAGTGACCACAGGTAAACATATTGATCAGATCATATCAGTTTGGATCAAATCTTATATATCTCTCTCTCTGTCTGCTCTCTCTCTCTCTCTCTCTCTCTCTTCTCTCTCTCTTCTCTCTCTCTCTCTCTCTCTGTCTCGTCTCTCTCTCTCTCTCTGTCTGTCTCTCTCTCTCTCTCTATCTCTCTCTCTCTCTCCCTCTCCTCTCTCTCTCCCTCCCCCACGGTCAGTGACAGTGATGCTCTCTCGCCCTCTCTCGCTCTGTGTATTCAAATCTCAGATGCTTAACAAGGTTTGTGTTGTTGCCACGGCAGCTCACAGTCCTCCCACACACACATCACACACAGTGAGACAGCTACACACAGGAGTGTGTTTACAGTCAGTCACCATCACTGTCAACACACACACACACACACTGCTCTGTGTGTGTGTGTGATGATGACAGGCGGAAGGAAAGTAGTTCCTATGGGCAGCGACTCCCGCTGACACTGATGATAACATACACTTAAGTAGTGTTTGGGTATTGATCTTCCATCTGTAGCTCCTGATCGATCAATCCTCTGATCAGATGATGATCCACTGTAGCTCCATCAGCATCAGTAACACACAGACCGAGTGTGTGAGCGTATAGTTCAGCCGTGTGTCTCAGACGCTTTGGAGAAAATCTGAGAGCCGCTGCTTCAGATGACCTTGGTCGTCATGGTAACAGTAGTAAAGAAGCAGCCGCGGCTGTTGAATGGAAACAAACACTTAAAGTTCAGACTTCTCATTAATCCTGCAGCTTCACTTCTCATCAGAGACGTTCATCTCTGAGATCGAGCGCACAGACACAGCACAGTGTGTGTGTGTGTGTGTGTGAGGAGGAAGTGTGTGTGTGAGGAGGAAGTGTGTGTGAGGAGGAAGCGTTAGTATGTGCTGTATCAGGGAAAAACAGATGAGTGATTAGAGGAGAGGAGGAGTGAAGCAGGACGAATAATGGCTGCATCTGACACACAATATCCTACTTCATTCATCACCACTACTATATCACACACACACACACACACACACACAGGATTAGCAGCACTCTCCATTATCTGCAGGGATCAGAACACACTCACACTCTCACACTGGACATGTGACAGAAGATCATTGATCGCTGTTTGTCACAATGTAAAATCTGATCAGTTCAAGATCTCTGTTCAACCTCAAGTGTCTCCTGCTACATGCTACATGCTAATGCTAACGCTGCTCAGCCTGGGGCTCACCTGCGACGTCACATACAGGTGGTTCATTCAATCACCTGACACGTGTGTGTGTGTGTGTGTGTGGTGTGTGTGTTATAATATGATGATACATTATTGATCCTGCACAGTAGTGAGGTCAGTATGGATGAGTCCATCAGATGAAAGTGTGTCTTGATGCTTTGTTCTTTGTGCTGCTTCCTGTTTTTTTTGACCCTCCTGTCCTGCTGTATTTTCCATCTGATGATGTGTTTGTGGACCGTGGGACCGCTCACACTACTCGTGCACACTACAAACGCTCCTCACAGAGGTCCAGTGTCTCCTGCAGACTTTGTTGTACTTCTCTTCTTTCTTCTTCTTCTGTGGTGTTTGACTCTGGCGTACGGAGCCTCCCACGCTCTCAGCTCAGCCACAGACAAAGATTTTGCGGTGAGTCACTGCAGCTTATTATCAGACGTTTGTTCATGTCAACAGGAGGATGAATGCACAGTGTCACGGCTTTTGTTTGACTGCAACAAGAAGGAGTTTGTGTATTTATACTTTTTGATCTGTGATATTTAAGTGTTTTGTGTTTTCCCTCCCTGGTGTCAGGTGGAAAAACCCGTGTGTCGGAGGGATGTAGAAAGTCTTTATATCAGAGGACCGCGTCTCCTTCAGGGTCCAGAGCACAGTCAGGACTTTCTGTTCTGTTGTGAGATACTTTTAACTGACATGACATTTATATGTGTGTGTGTGTGTGTGTGTGTGTGTTGTCACCATGAGTTTTACAGTGCGTGTGTTTTCAGTGTGGAGGATCTGAGTTGTTTTGAACGTGTTTCCTGTTTTATGTCGGAGTGAGGTCGTAGAGCGTGTGTCTCAGTGACAGACGCTGTTCTTCGTATAGAGATGAAGAGAGAGCCTGAAAACAGGACAACTGTGTCTCATAACGAGCTTTAATGTCTCTCAGTGATCACATGATCAGTGTGCGCTCACTTCTTGGCAAAGCACTTACAAAGTAAGAGCCTGTGTATACGTTAGGGGGCCGGTGTGTGGGGCCAGTGTGTGGTGCGGTGTGTGTGTGCGGTGTGTGGGGGTCAGTGTGTGGGTGCGGTGTGTGGGTGCGGTGTGTGTGTGTGCGGTGTGTGTGTGCGGTGTGTGTGTGCGGTGTGTGTGTGTGCGGTGTGTGGGTGCGGTGTGTGGGGCTGGTGTGTGTGTGCGGTGTGTGGGGTCAGTGTGTGTGTGCGGTGTGTGTGTGCGGTGTGTGTGTGCGGTGTGGGCTCCAGTGATGGAGGCTGGTTTCCTGCCAGCAGCTCCACACGCTCTGATGCTGCTGATGTGTTACTTATCAAACCCCTGAAACTTACAACGGCTGATCTGAACGCATGGATCACAGTGTTTCACTTCTCATCATGTTCAAACAGCACTGAGTGGGGGGGGCTACCTGTCCCTGCAGAGGCTCCGCCCACAAACTCACGGCTGCTGCTAATAACTGGGCCAGAGTCCAGAGCCTGGACTAACCTCATACATCAGGGTGGACGGTCTGAAGCTAAGCTAACGTAGCATTTCTCATCCACTGTGCTTGTTTTTAGGTCTGTCACAGGTGTGTGTACAGTGTGTGTACAGGTGTGTGTACAGGTGTGTGTACAGTGTGGAGTGGGAGGGGTCGTACCGTCTGACTCCACCTTTAACAATAACACTGATTGATTATTGATGTGATTCACACCTGATACACAGTGAAACACACACAACCATTTCAGTCACACTGAACTCTGTGTGTGTGTGTGTGTGTGTGTGTGTGTGTGTGTGTGTGTGGTCAGGCAGAGCAGCCCACATCATCATTTAATGATGGTTGAGCAAACGGAACATGTACATTCGACAAAGATGAATGATGCTGTGGCTCAGAGAGACGGAGCATGGTGCTCTCTGTCTCTGTCTCTCTGTCTCTGTCTGTCTGTCTGTCTCTCTCTCTCTGTCTCTGTCTGTCTCTTTGTCTGTCTGTCTGTCTGTCTCTCTGTCTCTCTGTCTCTCTCTCTCTCTCTCTCTCTGTCTCTGTCTGTCTCTCTCTGTCTCTGTCTGTCTCTGTCTCTCTCTGTCTCTGTCTCTCTCTATCTCTCTCTCCCTGTCCCTGTCTCTCTCTCTCTCAGCTGGAGTGTGTGTGTCCATGGGGCGAGCGAGGCAGAGAGAGAGCTATAGGGGCCTTTGATTGCTGTCACGGCTGCTTATAATGATTAATGCCTGGACTTTGGGGCCACTCTGTGTGATTAGGGCCCACGAGCTCCGAGCTGCTGCGACTCTGATGTCTTCAGACACACATGTGTGCTCACACACACACACACACACATGCAGTCCTGCTGTCTGATGGTGGTGGTGTTCAGGTCGTCTCTAACAGCTCAGAACAGTGTGTGTGTGTGTGTGTGTGTCTGAAAAACACACTTTCCTCTGCTGCATGTTGGTTTGAACTAATCGCCCACATGTCAGAACGCATCATGTGAACAGCTGATCTGTGGCGAGGGAATCAACGAGGGTGTTTGATGATGATGGTGAACTAAAGTTTGGGAAACCTGGTCATGGACCCACGTGGTCACGGACCCACGTGCTCATGGTCACAATCACAGCCACTTGTCTGAGCAGCAGCATGAAGCGGTTTGTTCGTGTCAGACGATCCACCAGAGTGAGTCTGGGCGTCTCGTATGAAACACGTGCGCCGTAGCAGAACCACAGAGGAAGTGGATTACTCTGCAGCTATGGGGCCTGCAGGTCCGCTCTCAGGGGTCAAAGGTCAAACACTGAGACAAAACCCAGTCATACACGCAGGTGTGTTTCTTTACCACTGGAAACCATGAGCTGCACCTGGAAAATAACAATTACATGAGTTAATGACGGAGATGAAGTCTGCGCCGCCGTCCGTGGACTCGACCTGTGAACAGTGACTGTCAGTGGTGAGGACAGTGTCCTCCTCCTCTGGGGGACACGGCGGTCTCATTGTGTCTGACAGACTCAGTGTGTGTGTGATTGTGATCAGCAGCAGCTCTGCCTGAGAACACCTCTGTGTTTGATCTGGCATTAGCCGCCTTTACAGGCTTTAATATGTAGGATTATCTCCTCCTCACTTCATGTAACACTCTTGACCTCCTCTGATCGCCACGAGTCTGAGGAAGAAAAGACAGAGTTAGAGAGGGGGGGGGGGTGGAGCAGGGAGGGGGAGAAGAGAAGCAGAGTGGAAAGGATGGAGCAGAGAGGTGGCACCAGGAGTGGAGGAGGAGGAGGAGGAGGAGGAGTCTGTGCATGGAGTCATTGTAACTCAGCAGCTGGAGAACATCTGATGTTCAGGTGTTGACACTGCTGACCTGCTGCTGCAGGTAAAGAGGATGGAGATGCCGGGGATCGAACCCGGGGCTCGTACATGCGAAGCACGCGCTCTACCACTGAGCTACATCCCCTCTGTCTCTGAGCTCCACACCACAGCTCTGAAGATCTGAATGTGGACCGTTCACCTGCAGAACAAAACTACCGCTCGTTGTTGGCGGGATTCGAACCTGCGCGGGGGACCCAATGGATTTCTAGTCCATCGCCTTAACCACTCGGCCACAACAACTGCACGTGAGGCCTGGAGGTGAGTCCAGCTGCTGTGGAGAGACAGGAACACGTGGCTGAAAGGAAACCCAAGAGCTAAACAGCTGCGACGGCCGGAATCGAACCCGGGTCAACTGCTTGGAAGGCAGCTATGCTCACCACTATACCACCATCGCCTGGGGGAGGGGGGATCAGCCGGTCAGTCAGCTGGTCAGACTGACCGGTGGTGGGAGAGGTGGCCACAACAAAACGCAGTGATGTGGGCGTGGTCAGAGAGGACGGGGTCAGTCAGGGACGAGCTGATGTAAAGAGGATGGAGATGCCGGGGATTGAACCCGGGACCTCGTACATGCGAAGCACGCGCTCTACCACTGAGCTACATCCCCTCTGTGTCCCGGCGCCCTGTCCCCCCCCCCCCGTTGGTCCGGTCTGACTTCTCAACAGAGTTTTCATGCGACTGGTCAGATCGGTGACCTGAGACCGACGTCCGTCCTCTGAGCTGATGGACACCAGGAGGTCGATGGACACCAGGTGTGTTTCCTGTGATAACAGCAGGCGATGGCGGTCCGCTCCGTCCACTGAGGACGACCACGGGGCCCAGAGACGAACAGCTCAGAGCCTCCCTCCCATGGGCCGCGGTACAGAGCGTTTCCTGAGGGGGCAGCGCTCCACTGTGGCAGTGAGCAGTTCACCACTGCAAGTGTGTGTGGTTTTATCAGCACCACCCAGCTCTCTAATCCCCGGCCCTACACCAACCTTTCACACTCTGACACATGCAGAGAATACTAATCCTCACAGTGTCTGCACTGACACTCACACCTGCCTGCTGACACACACACACACACACACACACACACCTGGCTGTGCTGCACGTGTGAGCATCAGCTGATCAACTGAGGCTGCACTTCCTCTCCTGACCACTAGGCAGAGCCAGCTGCTGTCAAGATGGCGGCTGTGGAGCAGCTCACTGTGGGTGGCGTCCATCTTTATTTACTTTACATGCTGTTAATGTGTCAGTCAGAAAACATGCGTCACACACTGCTGATGTATACTGTGCTGCTTACTGTGGTTTATAATGATCACTGGGGCCCAACAGGGGGCCTGTGGGGCCGATGGGGGCCGATGGGGCTGATGGGGTCTGATGGGGGTCGATGGGGGCTGACGGGGGCCGATGAGGTTGGACAGGTTTTACAGCTTTATGTGTGGTTGTGGTTTGGTTGTGGAGTTTCGCAGCGTGACCCTCTCCAACTCTCGCTCCCATCATTTCCTGTCCATTTCCCACAAAACACCCATAAAATGTTCCAAATATGTGCATTTATCATTTTAATCTGTTTAACATGGCTGCCCCCCCCCCAACCAACCCCCCCCGCCCCATGCACACCCTGCTGTTACATGGAAAGGTCCTTGTATCAAAGTGACTGCCACCCAATCCTGCCAGCTGGAGAGATCAGGACAAATCTAATTTGTTTTGGATCTTCAGTCATCAGGAGGGGGGGGGGGGGGGGTGGGGGGCAGACAGAGAGAGAGACAAAGAGCAGGGTCTGAGAAAGAGAGGGGAGAGAGAGGACAATAAGAGCAGCAGGATGGTGAACACACACCTTCACCATGAGCAGGTATCAGCCTCCTTTTGTACCTTTAAACACCTGGCTATTATAGATTATAGATTATAGATTATAGATATATACATATTATATAAAGTGAACAACAGCTCCCCAGGACAGAGGGCCATGAAAACCTTTGGTTTCACACAGAGACAAACTTTCACATCACGTGGACGAATGGGTCTTAAAACCTACTGGACCAGTCACCTGGTCAGGTCCTGAACCGTTGAACGTCCAGGATCCACGTCCAGCTGCTAAACCACGTTGTTGCGGGATTCGAACCTGCGCGGGGGGACCCCAATGGATTTCTAGTCCATCGCCTTAACCACTCGGCCACAACAACTGCACGTGAGGCCTGGAGGTGAGTCCAGCTGCTGTGGAGAGACAGGAACACGTGGCTGAAAGGAAACACAAGAGCTAAACAGCTGCGACGGCGGGAATCGAACCCGGGTCAACTGCTTGGAAGGCAGCTATGCTCACCACTATACCACCATCGCCTGGGGGAGGGGGATCAGCCGTGCAGTCAGCTGTTCAGACTGACCGGTGGTGGGAGAGGTTGGCCACAACAAAACGCAGCGATGTGGGCGTGGTCAGAGAGGACGGGGGTCAGTCAGGGACGAGCTGATGTAAAGAGGATGGAGATGCCGGGGATTGAACCCGGGGCCTCGTACATGCGAAGCACGCGCTCTACCACTGAGCTACATCCCCTTCGTTGATGGTGAGGTCAGCAGCACAGAGCAGGACGAAGCCTGCATCAGACCCTGAGCTGTGGACAGCCAACTGCTAACTCCACTAGCCTAGCCTAGCCACCGCGTTGCTGAACGTTGAAGGAGGAGGAGGGTGGAGGGTGGGGGTGGGGGGGCGAGAACTTGAGCGGGTCAGGATCCTCCTGTCTGCGGGTGAGGCTGAGGTCTACGCTGCGTCCCACAGAGAAACCCAGGAGGAGGGAGGGGCCGCAGGTTGGAGCTGTCTCTGCTTGAAGCTAAGCTAACGGCTCCTGACTGACGGCTCAACTCTACAACCAGGGAGTCAGAGGGTGTGAATCAGTTTAAGTTACTCCTGAGCTACTTCCTCAGCCTTCAGGCAAAAACAAGTCGTTTCAGAAAGGTCAGCGGCAGAAAAATGTGTGTGTGTCATAAAAGTTCAGTGTGAGGCAGCGATGGTCGTCCACAGGTCAGAGGTCAGAGCGGCGGCGCAGAGGGACACTCCTCACATGGACCTGTCCTCCTGTTTGTCTTCCAGCAAATCTCAAGTTTCCTAAAACTTAATTATCATTTTAATTGGGCAGTTTGTGGTGGTACCCCCCCCCCCCCCCAGACACTGGTGTGATTAGTGTTTCCCACACACACCATGAAGGATAGAAGTCGCTCACACAAGTGTGAACAAATTAAAGCTGATCCACTGATACCGTATCTGAGACAGAGCGAACAGAGCGGCTGCCAACGCACAAATGAGGCTCCGTGTTTCCAGATAAAGGCCCGAACTCACACTGAACTCACACTGTGGCCGTGCTGCGCCTTATCACAGACATGCAAATGAGCACTAATTAGGTCTAATTATGACTCCCTGTCTTTACAGTCGCATGAAAATGTATAAGAACGACTGTTTTTTTCTCCCCTCTGTTTTCTCAACAAAGGCTGTTTAAAGATTCACGTGCCGGCATTTTAATGGCCGTTGACGGGAACATGTGTCTCTCAGGAAACCGACTGACATCATATAAAAATGTGTCGCAGCTTAGCTTCGTTAGCTCAGCTGCAAACGGCTGCGCTGCTCTTCTTCTCTGCTGTGTTTGTGCGCTCGTTGTTTGTGTGGTGGAGTTTTATATTTGAAGGTTCAGAGCTGACTTCCACGCCGGAGAAGATGCTTTGTGTTGTTGCTCTGGAAACAACACAACGATCCATCTGTGCAGCAGCGTCTGTAAGAAGCACACGATGTGACGTCTCGTTGCTAAGAGCATTAAATCACCTGAGAACAGTCACAGTGAATAAACAGGCCTGTAGCTGCTCTCAGCTGGCGAGTGTCTTAGCTTCCTGTTTACAGCGCGTTGTGTGTTTGTTGAGTCGTGAGTGATGTTGAGTGACAGCGAGTTCAGGTCCTCAGTGACAGGAGCCGGCGCTGCTGCCTGCTGCTCAGGTGAAGTATGACTGCTCCTGTGTTTTTCATGGTGTTACAGAGAAATAATGAAGTAGAAAGCTCTAATGTCCTGGTTGGAGGGCCCGCTCGGCTCAGATCCATTTAACAGGAGCGCCCGTTGCTGCGGGGTTTCTCCTACCAGATCACCGCATTCATCATCCTGTACGTAGGTGTAATTATTATATTTAGGGAGCAGAGCCACTGGGACAGAGCTGTGCAGAGAGGCAGCAGAGGTCAAATAAAGAATTACTCAGACAGAGACCTGAGGAGTCTGTTGGTGGAGGTGCGTTTAAAGACCAGACACTGATACAGAGAACAGCTGCTGCTGCTGCTGCTGCTGCTGCTGCGTTCAGGTGCTGCGTTCAGGTGCTGCGCGGAGATCAACCTCCACACCGTCACCTCTCCACCGTGGAGTCACCGTCCCTCTGTCAGTGTTCACGTGACTGTCACACGTTTCTCAAACAGTATATCCGTATGTTTCTGTGGTCCGTACCCAACCGCTCTGCCTCTGGTCTGTTTACATCCTCAGAATCTGACTTGTTGTCCAGGGCGTCTCCATAGCAACACAGCACTGATGCTGCTGACGCTGGGACACATTTTACCTTTGACTCCTGTGGTTTGAATATTGACCTCGGTCCATATTGAGAATTACTCTTACAGTGTGATTCATTGTGCAGCACTAGTGTGTGTGTTGGTGTGTGTGTGTGTTGGTGGGGGGGGGGGGGGGTCACTGTATGGATGTGTGTAATCCAGAGTGTTATTATAATGCGGCTGTGTGAGAGCGGAGATGACACAGAGTGAAGGTCCTGATGGATGATAGTGAACATCAGGGTCCATCTGTATCTGTGAGTGACAGAGACACACACACACACACACACACACACACAGAGACAGTAAGAGGTGTGATGGAGAGTTGGACAAACCCTCAGAGGATCTGAATGTAGACGTTTATACCATCGTTGATTCATGTTAATTATACAAACGACACCATGAGGTGAGTGTCTTCAGTCCAGAAGCCCGTGTGGCTGCTTCACCTCAGAAACAATGAGCCTCCTCACAGCAGCCGTTCCACTGCTGTAACAGACATTTCCGACGCGTGCCGTTTCCTCTAATGTGAGCAGACATGTTTTTTA